ACAGCAGCAATGAAAGCCATAAGACATGGAACAAAATAATCAAAAGTGAGGGGAAATAATTCACAGTTGATAAACCTTTTTGTTCTGCAGTAAAAATATAATAATTTCAAATTTACAGGCATCTAACGACATAATCTCAAACCACGTGGAGTAAAAATTAATAGAAATGCAAGGGGAAATTGATAAGCCTACCATTGTAGTGGGAAATGTCAACAAATCTCTCTCACTTATTAATATGTCAAGAAAATAAAAATAATATTCAATATATTATTTAAACACAATTAATAAGCTTGATTTGCCAGTCATCTATTAAGAATCCTATACCCATTCACATTCTTCTCAAGCCACACTGGACACTTACAAAATCTGGATGTACAATGGATCGGAAAGCAAATCTCAGTGAGTTTTGGAGAAATGATATCATAATAACTAAATTATCTTGTCACAAGTTAATTAAGAATTCAATTAACAAAAAAGGTAAAATTTGCCTATGCATGTAGAAATTTAAAAACTTACTTCCAAGTAATTCTAAGACAAAGAACACGCAATGGAAAAATTTTTAATATCTAATATTGAAAAATAAAAAATATCATTTGTCAAAACTCAGGGAATGCAGCTCCTTTGAAGGAAATTATACTACCAATTTTTTTTTAAATCGAAAAGTCTGTCAACATAAAACGATAGAGTATAGTAGGATAAGTATAATAAAATAGCAAACAAATCCAGAATCTCAACAAACCCCAAAACAGACTATGTTTAAAACATGAGTAAAATTCAGATGACCTTGAACGACATGAATTTGAACTGTGCAGATCCACTTACACACAGATTTTCTTTTACCTCTGTCCCCCTCGAGACAGCAGGACCAACCCTCCCTCTTCCTCCTCCTCCTGAGCCTACTCAGCATGAAGATGATGAGGATGAAGACCTTTATGATGATCCATTTCCAGTTAATAGACAGCAAATACATTTTCTCTTCCTCATGATTTTCTTAACATTTTCTTTTCTCTAGCTTATTTTATTGTAAAAATACACTACATAATTCACACAACACAGAAAATATACGTTAATTGACTGTCTATGTTATCAGTAAGGTTTTCAGTCAACAGTAGGCTATTAGTACTTAAGTTCTGATGGAGTCAGAAGCTATAAACAAATTTTCAACTCTGCGGGAAGTTGGCACCCCTAACCATCCCCCAAACACTGTTCAAGGGTAAACTGTACATAAAACTCCGGAAAGATTGAGCTGGATAGAGCTAGAGAAAAGAAGAGAGCCATAGCAAAACATATAAAGAATGAAAAAGGGGTACAAAGCTATGAATACAGTGGAAACATAAAAGATAGCAAAAGAATATGAACAAATTTATGCCAATAAATTTGAAGATTTCAATATATGGCTAGAAAAATGCACAACAAATTAACTCAAAGTAGAAAATTTGAATGAATTTATAATCATTAAAAAATTGAATCAGTAGTCAAAATGTTCCCACAATGTAAATATCATGCCCAGACAGTTTTGCAGACAGGTTTTACCAAACATTTATGAACAGATCATTCTAATGTTACACACAAAAAAGAAATAGTCTATAGCTCATGGGACTAGTGTAACCTCAATACTATCGCTTGATAGGAACAGTAAAAGAGAGAGAGGGAGGGAGGGTGGGAGGGAGGGGGGTGGAGAAAGAAGGAAGGAAGGAAGGAAGGAAGGAAGGAAGGAAGGAAAAATTACAGGCTAATGTCACTGGCAACACAGATGTAAAATTCTACACAAAGTATTAGCAAACAGAATCTAGCAATGTAAAACAAATCACCAAGATATTTTAAACCTAGAATGCAAAGTTACTATGGTAGAAGCTCTATTTAAGATTTATGTCATTTAGGTGAACTGATTAAATAAAAAATAATATAATCTTAATAGATGCATAAATTACATTTAATTAAAGTCAATAACCATTTGTAGTTTTTAAAAAGTAAACTAGGAAGAGAATGTGCTCCTCCATAAAGGGTATCTATAAAAGAATGTACAGTAAACATTATGCTCAATAGTGAAATATTAGAACCATTCCCTTTAAAATCAGAAATAAGACAGGGATGCCATTACCACTTCTATTTTACCTTGTACTAGAAAATCCTATGAACACAATAAAGCAAGAAAAAAAATAAATAAAAGATCATGTTCAAGTTTGAACTTATAGCATTACCTGACTTGAAGTGAGTATTTTTAACCTTATTAATAGGTACACATGAATTGGTAGGAATTAACTATTTGCCTGTATAGAATTTAGCTTTATCTAAACAGGAAGAGGAAGTAAAATGGCAAATAAACATAAAAAATACTCAACCTCATAACTAATTCAGCAAAATGAAAATCACAACGGAGATAATATATCAAGTGTACTCAATGATCAAAAGTGGGAAAGTGAGAAAAACACCCATGATAAGGATGGGGAGTAGGAGAACGCTTGTACACTAGTGGAGGGAAAACAACTGGCATTGTCTGGTAGAGGGGAACATACTGCATGTGTTACTCCTATGTAGATATCCCGAAAAATCTCCCGAACATGTGCACCAGGTGACATACAACAGCTTTCACAGTGGCACTGCTTTTAGTAGCAAATTTGCTTTTAAAACACCCAAACCAGAAAGAGCCCAAATGTCCATCCACAGCTAACTGGATAAACATGTGCATAAATGTAATAATATATATTAGAGAAAATGAATGAGTTGCAGTTATACATCAACAGGGATAAACAATGAAAACATGTACAAAATAGGCTAAATAAATATTCCTCATATATTTCTTATGTTTTAGAAATACAGACACATGATAAAACTACTAAGCAAGGAAATTGTTAAAATAAATTCATGACAGTGGTTTCCTCTGTTATATAGGGAGGGACCACATCAACTTCTTCCTGGCAATACTCTATTCTTTAAGCTGTACCTTAATATCAACAGAATATGCTACCTCAGGTGGTACTGAATTTCCAGCCACAGAAGTTTGCTTTGTTTGAAGAAATAATGTCACTCAGGTGAGACATTTAGAGATAGAGAACACATATATCACATAGGGAATTGGAGGTGATTATCCCTACAAGGATCTTGTAACTCTAAAATTTCATAATTCCATATCCACCATAGTAAACAACACAGTGCGATACACATAAAAACAAATAATAATTACAAACACTGACTGAATGCTAATGTTGAAAAACACTGTTGGTTGCTAACCAACATTCTTTCTTATTCTTCTCTGCTAGAAGAATCCAATTTTGTTCAGCCATCTTTCCTTCTCCCATGTAATTCAAGGTGGTGTATCCTAGCTTGAGGGACATCTTTTACTTAATCTAAACTAATCCTGTACTCCACTGGTATAGAGTTTTAACATCTGGCCCTGTTCTGGCCAAAGAGACATGACATAAGGTGAGGGATGTCTAAGAAATGTTTCCTTGCCCCTAAACAGGAGACCCAGAAATAGGTATTCTTTGTTGATGTTGTCGTGCACAGATGTGACATCTAGAATGCTACTGCCATGATGTCGTCAGGAGAAAGACTGGCTTCAAAACTAAGCCAATTGATCCATGATGACAACACTGAGGCAAGGAATTAAAGCTGGAGTCTTACTTCTTGACTTGTTGGTAAGTAATATGTCATCTTATTGTATATATTTTCATGTTGCTCATATTTTCCCACTGAAGCCATATTAACTGACACACTTACCACGTGCATAGGATTTCCTCATTTAATCTTTACAGCAATTCCAGGAGCAAACTACCATGATGATATCCATTTGATAGCCAATAAAAATAAAACTTAGAGAATGAAAATAAGTTGCTCAAAGTCACACATATACCAAGAGGCAAATTCTGGGGTGTCTGATTTCAAAACCCATGCTAATAACCTACGCATTGTCCCTTCTATGATGCATATTATTACCTGGCATTCAGCAAGCATTCCCACCCCTGAGGGTCCCTCTGTATCACAGAGCTGGTTTCTCAAATTCCCCTGCAGCTGAAGTTCCAAATTCCGTTCAGCTTCTGCCAATAAGACAAACTCATGTGGAACTTAAAAGCCAAAAGGGAAATAAAGGGCATCTACTTGTGGCTGTGAGGGCTGCACAGGAAATCCCAGTAGACATGAATGCGCAATGAAGCCCACGTTCCAGTAGCTTGTCACAAACTTCCAAAGCATTTCAGAAGCATTTTGATTACTCTAATTATCTCTTGCTCTGTTTTCACTTTTCACTTCACAATATTTTGGGTACTCCAACAAACACAAAAGCTAAGGCAGGTAAACCCATCAAAAGGGTTTATACGCCTGCAGATTAAAAAACAACTATATAAAACACCAGACAGTCATTTACAAACTTTTTGTATTAACAGTTATGATATTGGTACTAGTCTGCTTTATCTAAGCATGACTACTAAAGCAGTATTTAACATTTTTTAAGTGATCATATGTACTTAGTGAAATGTGAAAACAGCAACTAATTAACACACTAAAAAAGCCAATACAACAGAAGACGACAGTCAGCCTTTAGACTTTTGGTATTTTCATACAGGCAGTAAAGCATATTGGTCTTCTATTTAGATATTTTTATATATTATATAAGGATATGCATAATGATAGGAATTAATTACTGGTTGGCAAAAAAATGGCCACAGCGAAAGGGTCCACAAAAATTCATCTCTCCCCACAGGTCTCAGAGTCCACTCCTTTTTTCTCCTTCCACTCCTTCCTATTTTCCTGATTGCTGGATTATAGAATTTACAGTGGAAATGACAGAGTGAAACACTAGATAGATGAGGTAAGAAGTAGTAGAAATTGACAAGAGCTAAGCAAAGTACCAGTTTATGGAGTTAACTGACAACCTGGCAAATGAAAATTTTGTGCTCTGTTGCTCAAAACAGAATGAACAATTTTGATTGTAGAGCATGTGGTCACATATCTGACTTAAAAGATATCATTTGGAGGATTTCAAAATAGATCTTGAAACGAACCTCAATTGGCTCTTCACCGCCTTTCACTTGACTTTCCCCTATTTCTCCGTTCTCATAGTTGCTGCTCTTCTCAACCCATAGCTCAGACTTCTCCACTGTCAGTCGAAGCTGGTCTAGATCTGCCTTGATTTGCTTGTAGTTATCTACATCTTGATTAGACACCAGTAATTGCACCTAAAACAGAATAATTTCAATCTCTTAGTTGAAGTTCACTATTTCTAGAACATTTATGAATATTTTAGATGTATATTGACTATGAAAACCTACCTGGAAGTAAGTGTGAACTTTTAACCAGTATTTTCACATATTAGAATTTTTTAAGTGAGCCCTAGCAAAACTTTTCAAAGTGATTTAATATTAAAAGACACCCTAACTTTATTTTCACTGCTGAAGTTAATTTTTCTGAGACTCTATCTGTTTGAGAAGAGACAGAAACAAAAATAAGTGGGAGAAAATATCAACAGACACAATCTAAACCTCATCATACAAGTTTTTATTTTCTTATAATTTTCATGTATTATATGACATATACATATATGTATTTAATATAGAACTACCCTTTTATTTCATATTCTTTTAACATATTCCTGTAAAACTGCCTAAATGATCAATACCCTATTATGTTAAATAAATAGTGAAACATATGTAAGCACTTAAGTATTACTAATTAATAATCTCAAGATTGATGTCTTATTCAAAGACCACAGAGAAAAACATTAGATCCATACCAGTTCCTTTCTTTTGGATTTATGCAGTTTTCAATCACAAAATAACTTTCAGGGCTATTGGTGCTCCTACCCAAATTCATCAGTAAAATTTAAGGATAAAATAATAGCAGTGGTAATAAAATTCCTAACATGTTGTTATCTCCCAGTGCCTTCCCAAATCTTGGTGCCTTTCATTTGTTTTAAAGACATTAACTAAAAAATCACTTGTGGGGAATGCCTTCTAAATAGATCACGTCCTGGCATAGACAAGGCCATGTCTCTGTTTAAAAATTGAAAGTGTCTCCAGGAAAAGCCACACAGTGTCATTACCCCTGCAGCCATGAAGTCAGGTTGGATGTTATTAACACTTTCAGAGCTTTTACCTTGAATGTATTGAGGGCCCTTCAATCTTACCTGCTTAAATGCCTGTAAAACCTCCGCCCTCTGGCTGAAGTGCTTAAACAACAGCTGCAGGGCTCCAGACAGCAAAGGCGGGTAGTCGTGCATGATCAGATGAATGAGGACCCGTAAAAATGTCCTGCCTCCTTCATCATCAAGTTGAACTGGGTTTTTTTCCTTTCTATAGAACCAAAAATATTTCTAAAGTGACTCATATTTATATAACATCTACACTTCGTATTAGAATTGTATACATATTCTCAGAGGTATATCATTTGTTTTTCCAAATTAGGAAGTGAACGGGAAAACATTTTCTTTGTTTTCCTCATGTAACTGATGAGGAAACAATCACAATGAAAAGCTTGTGTCTGTCCATGAAAGCAGGGGTCATTGAACCTCCTGGTTTATCCAAGACTCACAGGTTCCTAGGCAAACTGGGATGAGCTGGTCACCTCAGCATAGACAAAAAATGGGCATCTGAGTCAATCCAAAAGCATTTATGGGAGGAGCTGTGCTAGGCTGGATGTACACCAGTGACTGATTTCCCCGGGGGCCCTACAGACCCCTACATGACAGGTGGGGAGGAGTGGGGAAGACCAGCACGCATGTGCGTGAACCATCACCAGAGCAGCCATGGGTGTGGCGTAGGAGGACTCTGGGTGAGGTTCCACTGGAACAAAAGGTCCGTCTATTTCAAGGTGAAATCATATACTGGTTCATTCTCCTAGGGAATAATGAAATTCTTCAATAGGAAAACACAACAACAAAACTAAACTAAATGTTCACTAGAGATAAAAATCCTTTTTTGGTGCTCCTAATTCTTAATTGCTGTTTGTCTTTCCAATGACAACAACACAAACTGCAACAAGATGCTTAGTGTAGTCGCCCCCACTACCCTCGCCAACTCTATCTGTGGTTTTACTTTCTGTGGTTTCAGTTGCCCATGGTCAACCATGGTCCTAAAATATGAAACGGAAAACTTCAGAAATAAATAATTCACGAGTTCTAAATTTTGTGCCATCCTGCCTGTCAGCCATTTGGGACATGAATCACCCCTTCGCCAGCATCTCCACGCTGTACGTGTTCCCCCCTCATTAGTCGCTTAGTAGCTGTCTCAGTTATCAGGTGATTGTCTCAGGGTCACAGTGCTTGTTCAAGTAACCCTTATTTTACTTAATAATGGTCCCAAAGTGCAAGAGTGGTGAACCTGGCATATTGTTATAATTATTTTATTATTAGTTAAGTTGTTAATCTCTTAGTATGCCTAATTTATATATTAAATTTTATCATAAGTCTGTATATATAGGCAAAAACACAGTGTATACAGGGTTTGGTACTAGCTGTGGTTTCAGGCATCCACTGGGGGTCTTGGAATGTATCCCTAGCAGATAAGGAAAGACTACTGTACAGATTGTGTTTAGGTTCTCAGGTCAGGTCTGTAATAAAAATGAGCACCAGAAGCTTAATAATTTGTAGCCTAAAGGTTTTAATTTTTCTTTTTGATCGCTATTAATTTCATTTCTGAAGAAGAAAGAAACAATATTAAAACAGTACATGGCAGGATTCCTGATGACAAAGGAGGCTAGTCATGTCAAAGGTGTCTTGTTTTATTTAATCATGGGTATTTCCAACTGGCAAAAAATAGCTTTATTTCTCACATATAAAGTTAATGATAATAACATTAAAGAAGTTACTTTCTTGCCTCAAATATCTAAGATTCAGGGAAGCAATGTTTTACAAGATGCGGTGATATTTATACCAGGGGAGTTAAAGGGCATTCTTGGGCTGTCATTATTTGAGGAAAGAAAAGCAAAGAATTCAGAGGAAAGTTCAATACACTGATCTCATCTCTCTTGTCCTTTTTTTTTTTTTACCTGACCTAAAGAAAAGCTATGCTTTCTCCTCTAGAGTAAATTAGCAGCTTCATTTCTGGCAGAAATTATGTTAGCAACAATAGAGGGTCTAAAAATAAATAGATATACAGTGAGCAATATCAAAGTATCAACAGAATTCTAAGTAAAATCTTATTCACAAGTAAGATAAAGATACATAAATGTTACTATACCTTCCCGCAAACATAGTTTCTGCCTGAGCTGCAATTTCATCTATATCAGGAACAATAGCTGCAAAAATAAATGGTAAAATCTCTTCTTTATCCTATTTTAATTAGGAGCCATAATAGTCATATTAATACCAATTGATGTGAAAATATTTTTGTCTTAATTTCTTTACTCTCTCAAAAGTCAATTAACACTAATAATCTGATTTTAAAATGGGCAAAAGATCTGAATAGACATTTCTCAAAAGAAAACATACAAATGGCAAACAGGTTGATGAAAAGGTGCTCAACATCACTGATCATCAGAGAAATACAAATCAAAACTACAATGAGATATCATCTCATCCCAGTTAAAATGGCTTTTATCCAACAAACAGGCAATAATAAATGCTGGTGAGAATTTGGAAACAAGGGAACCCTCGTACACTGTTGGTAGGAAGCTAAATTAGTACAACTGCTATGGAGAACAGTTTGGTGGTTTCTCAAAAAAACCTAAAAAATTGATCCAGTAATTCCACTGCTAGACGTATATGCAAAAGAAAGGAAATTTGTATATCAAAGAGATATCTGCATTCCCATGTTTACTGAGGCGCTATTTACAATAGCTAAGATTTGGAATCAACCTAAGTGTCCATCAACAGACAAATGGATAAAGAAGTGTGATAGACAGACACAATGAAGTGCTATTCAGCCATTAAAAAAAAAAAAAAAAAAAGAACGAGATCCTGTCATCTGCAACAACATGGATGGAACTGGAGGTCATTTTGTTAAATGAAATTAGCCAGGCACAGAAAGACAAACTTCTCATGTTCTCACTCATTTGTGGGAGCTAAAAATTAAAACAACTGAACTCATGGAGATAGAGAGTAGAATAATAGTTACCAGAGGCTGGGAAAGGTACTGGGGTGGGCGGAGTGGGGATGGTTAACGGTTATAAAAATATAGTATGATGGAATGAATAAGATCTAGTATACAGAGTGACTACAGTCAATAATAATTTGTTGTACATTTTTAGTAACTAAAAGACTATAATTAGATTATTTGTAACACAAAAGATGAATGCTTGAGGTGATGATAAATGCTTGAGGTGATGATAAATGAGGTAACCTCATTTATCCTGATATGATTATTACACATTGTATACTCCATATACCCCACAAATACATACATCAACTATGTACCCACAAAAATTAAAAATTAAAAAAATTTAAGTCAATTGACAGTTTGAAAAAAATCACAATATAGTTCCACTAAGACATCAATGTAATTTTTTAATGTAAACTATGTTTTAAACTAATGTATTGCTGTAATCAAAAATATGTTTAAAAGATCAGAAAGCACCAGTTACAAAGGTGCCTCTTATCTAGAGAAGTGTGTGTGTATATATAGATCATATATACACATATATGCACATACTTACATATAATTTAAATGAGTGATAACATGGGAGGATGATTATTTAAAGAATCAAAATATACATACGATGAGCCTTGTTATTATATGGTTATTTCCAAATACCATGGTCTTTTTACCTAAACTTACTAGTACTAAAATTCCATCCCTTTTTCTTGTGGGAAAGGGCATTTTTTTTTTCTATGTCAACCAATCATGATTCCTTACTGTCCCACACCAGTAACATTTTGAAGATATCCTTCCTAAGATAACATGGGGTTTTTCACTTGTTTGTTTGTTTGTTTGTTTGTTTGTTATTGAAACAGGGTCTCGCTCTGTTGCCCAGGCTGGGGTACGGTGGCACAACTTCAACTCACGGCAGCCTCGACCTTCCAGGCTCAAGCAATCCTCCTGCCTCAGCCTCCTGAGTAGCTGGGACCAAAGACATGTGCCTCCAGTACTGGCTAATTTTTTTGTATTTTTTTGTAGAGATGGGGTTTCGCCATGTTGCCCAGTCTGGTCTCAAACTCCTGGGCTCAACCAATCCACCCCCCTCAGTCTCCCAAAGTGTTGGGATTACAGGTGTGAGCCACCATACATAACCAAGGTAACATGTTTAAATGATAAAATACACCACTCATTTGTCATCTCCAAAGCATAAAAAGAAACACGGTAAGATATAAAAATGGAAAAACAATTCTCCCTGAAAGGTATCCCTTACTGGTACAAAAAAAGGAGAGAGATCAAGTAAATTAGAGAGAAAGGGTTTTCTGGGGTGCCCCTGGACTTTCCCTCTGATACTTTACTAACACTTAAAGCTCGTGTTTCCAGAAGCCTGGCCTCTGGGACTCAATAATTTTTATGCTCCTGTCAATGCAATCACCAGCAAGACTTTCTGGTTCTGCCATATCATTCCTGGAAATAGCCCTTTGGGGTTCTACACTTCTGAGAAGTAGAAAAACAACACCATTGCAAACGTGCCGGGAGAGAAGTCTTGCTTAGGCATGTTCAAGTCCTTCTGCAGAGGCGTGCTGCCTTTTGATGGGACTAATGATTCAGACAGCAGGACAGTTGGTCTAGTATCCATTTTAACTACATGCTTGTAATCACTGAATCATTCCTAACTGATTGATGGACGAAGAATAGGGGAGAGTTCCTAATGTCACATTGGTGGCAGTTAGAAGGAAGTTTCACATCTGTGTACAAATCCTATTCTCAGGAAAAGAATTCCATTAGCTGGCTAAATCTTCAATAAGACATACTTTTCAGCCTACAATGACTTGGCCTGACCTGTCCAAAAAAAATGGTAATTTAATATTTCTTAGTTTTTCTAAAGTCCTTTCAATAGTCACAAAATTTTTACAATCATATTTGTGCTCTTTTGTTGTTATGCTCCAATGCTCAGAGATAAATTAGCTGCATTTTTACACTTTTTAAATATGAAAATTGAAATATAGTTCCAGTTTATAACCATACAAAGTAAATTAAAAAAAAAAAATCCACACACACAAAATGATACCAACAACCACATTCAGGTCTTTGGGGAATGCCATGTCTTTATTCTTGGATCCGGCAATGGCTTCTCTTCAAAACACCTATCCTGATAACTACAGTTCACACTGCTCTTTGATCCAGGCAGAAAAACTTCTCTTGGGTTTTCACCAAAACATCATGATGCTGGAAAGATTTGGACTCTGGAGCTGGAGAGACCTCAGAGAGAATCCCTGTGCCACTACCTTCAGGACCTTTGGCAAGTAACTTAACCTTTCTGACCTTGGTTTTCTCCTCTGTAAAATGACACAATGAACAGTGCATCTATCTTATAGAGTCCTGAAGATTACAAAGGAAAAGGCGTTCATAGGAGTTAGCGACAAACAACAGCAAACACCCTCCACACCATTCTCAGAGAGTTATTTCATCATCTATCTCAGTTCTTTGATGTCATTAATGGAGATTATATCTACATTTTTGTCTCGTAAAAATATGATGAAGCTGGAAACCATCATTCTCAGCAAACTAACACAGGAACAGAAAACACTACATGTTCTCATTCATAAGTGGGACTTGAACAATGAGAACACATGGACACATGAGGGGAACATCACACACCAGGGCCTGTCAGGGGGTGGGGGGCAAGGGGAGGGAGAGCATTAGGAGAAATACCAAATGTACATGACAGGTTGATGGATGCAGCAAACCAACATGACACGTCTATACCTATGTAATGAACCTGCACGTTCTGCACGTGTATCCCAGAACTTGAATTATAATAAAAAAATAAAAAATAAAAGCCCAAAAAATATAATTATGTTTTAAAATATGATAGGTACTTTCAAGTTCTCAAAAGAACAAAATACAAAGAGTAAATATTGTCACAAAGAGATACCTGATGGTAGTAAAGTATCTGGAGATCCATTGGCAGATGTCTCCGCATTGTCATTGTCCTCTCCAAACTCCTTCTTATATATCGACAGCATATATGAGATCCTATAATCTAGTCTGACACTCAGGATAAACTATAAGAAAGATTAAGAACAACATAAATTTCTTTCATTAGCATAGCATTTAAAAATGCAATTCACGACACACCAATACCAGTGGAAGTACCAACCTTTCGAAGGAACTAGTTAGAAGATTTTAACACCAGTTGCCACATGCTTGTCAGCCTTCAGACTAAGTAAGGGAACTCATTTCCACTAGCTAATGCCAGTAAAATCCCAAAGCCATTTTTGGAAAGAACATTTGACTCCCTATGATTGCTCTCTGAATATTCCAGCTAGTAGCACCGTGGGGGTCTGGATGAAGAGGTAATGATGATGTCATTTCACTGAACACTTTGCAGAGTGCCATTGTCTCTGGGAGGAGACTGTTGGAGGTGTGACCCTCATTCTTACACAGTAGGGCAAGAATTCAGCTACAACAGTATGACTGTGACTATACCATGATCAGTCCTAAAGCCAGGTTCTAAAAGGACAGTTGAAGTACCAGCATCTATATACCATGGATTTTCCTCACTGGTATTTGCATTTTCTTGGGTTTGGGTTGCTGTCATTGTTCTCATTCATGGATGCATGGACAGAAACTAAGTACCTAGCAAGGCTCCAGACTGTGCTAGGTACCACAGGGAATGCAAACAGGTGAAGCCTACTGCCCTCAAAAAGCCAATAGTTGAGTTGGGGAAAAAAATATAGCACTGTTAGCATAATTAGGAAACTATTGAGAGCTAAATCACGTGGTCTAAATACAACAGAAATCAAAGAAGAAAAAGCTGAGATGTGCTGCAGATCAAAGGAGAGGTTTTTACATAGGTACCATCTGTCCCTGTCTGCCTGAGATAGGCCCTATTTAACCTTTTGTTTCAGCATAATTATTAACGGTGCCCCTACATTCTCAAAAGTGTCACATTTTTGTGGTCACCCAAGTTTTAGGAAGATTGGCATTTCAAGGCATCATTTAACTTTATCTCTATCCAAACCACCTGTGTCCCATCCCTCCCTCCTCCTATGCCCCTTCTCTCATCCTCTCTCCCATTCTAACAGCACTGGAGTGCCTGCACTTCTACTCTTGGCTCCACACAGGTGCTCACAGTGTCCACTTTACTTTGAATATTCTCCTCCACTTCATAATAATTACATGCTAAGATATCCTCTGTCAGGGCACAGTGGCTCATGCCTGTAATCCCAGCTCTTTGGGAGGCTGAGATGGGGGATCGCTTGACCCCAGGAGTTCAAGACCAGCCTGGGCAATGTGGCAAAGCCCCATCTCTACAAAAATACAACAAATTAGCCAGGCATGGTGGTGCACGCCTGTAATCCCAGCTACCATGGATGCTGAGGTGGAAGAACATTTGAACCCATGAGGTCAAGGCTACAGTGAGCCAAGACTGTGCCACTGCATTCCTGCCTGGGTGACACAGGAAGATCCTGTCTCAAAAAAAAAAAAAAAAAAAAAATTTCCAAGGTCCAGTTTAAATTCTTTTTTAATGTGGCTTTCACTGGTTCCCCAGTCATAACCTGAATCAATCTCCCTCCTTTCCTCCCTCCCTCCCTTTCTCTGTCCTCTGTCTGTCTCAGTTTTTCTCTCTCTCTCTCTCTCTCTCTCTCTCTCCCCCCACCACCCCACCTTGGCTAGACTTTTATGCTTTTTATGGAAACTTCCTCCATGTCAGCTGTACTCAGCTGGTTAATTCACCAGACATGTGTTAAACAAGGTATTGAGGAAGGCACCAAGGGCATGAAAAGGTGCCAAGGATCTCAATCGTGCCTTTCAAGAACTTATGGTCTAGAGGGGAGAGCAAACACCAGAGACTCCTAGTAACGTGTGGTGAGGGCTGCAACACATACTGGTTGAACTGATTCTTGGTAGCAAAGGGATGTGCAGAGCAGGAGATAACCCATGGGAAAAGAGGAGTGAGAAAGGGTATGGGATTTGGTAGCCATGAGCAGAAGGCAGGGGGCAGAGCTGGACTGCAGGTGCTTCACAGGGAAGGGTGTTTAAAATCCTATTTTAAAAAGTAAAGGATAAATCATAAACAAATGAAACACCAACTTTCAGTTGATGATGTTTACATGCAGCATTGTATTCCATAAACATAATCAAAATTAAAACTTTCATTCTCTAATATGCCTACTCAGGAAAAACAAGTGGAAAGTAGAAAGAAAGGAGGAACGTGAAGGATAAAAACAAAGGCAGAGAAAGAGAGTTAAGAGAGGGCCAGGAAGAGAAAGAGAGAGAATGAGAGAGAAATGAAAAGAGAGGGACAGAGAGAGATCTACAAAGTGATGGGGGACAAAAAAAAAAAAAAAAGAAGACCCAGAGGAAGAGAGGAGGTGGCACAAGGCACAGGACCTTGAAGTCCTTGTAGCACCAAGGAGTGGGGCTACAAAGAAATTCTCGAAGAGCTATTCCAAGAAAGACACATTCAGAAACAGTATTCAGGCATACGGGCATGGTGAAGCCAGCCCAGACACAGGGACAGAAAATCAGAGTGAACAGCGGTTCAAGGAGATGCTGCAGAAATGAATCAGCCCCAGACTGCTGAGCCGTAGAAGCTCCATCTCATCATTTTTTAGCTGCTGGAGATCTAATGCTTCTTTTCTGTAAATGTGGGCTAAAATGAGGTCACATATTTTAGAGCTTGTCCCATGAGTCGGGTGACGGTAAGCTGGGGCTCAGTAGGTCCACGGGTCAGGTGATCGCTACCTTTCTCAGTTTAAGAACAGGAAAACTTTAAACGATTTTTCAGGGTCATGAACACAGCATTGGGAGGCCTGCCAATATTTCTCAGGATTCAGCCTTTGGAATTCCTAGAGGAACTGTGAAACCTTTTATGATTATAAATCTAATTACTTTAAACGAACAACGTGCAGACCCTTCCAGGACTACTAAACCACTTCTGGTAGCTCGGTCTATATTAAATTATGATAAAAGACACAGTAAACTGTACCCAGATTCCTAATAGGTACTTGGAAATGTCAAACTCCATTCTCCAAATCTGGAATAAATGCTATAATTAAGGTATCAAAAAAGTTATTTTCAAACTTACAAACTGCTAAGAATTCATAGCTATAGTAATGGGAAGTCTATTCACTAAACCAATGGGCATGGAATAATAATTTATCTCCTTTAAATTCTTAAAATTAGGCATTACACTAGGTTAATTTTTTCTAGTTATTCCTTGTCCTTCAGAAACAAAAACAGAGAGAGATTGTCACATATAAAATACCAAAACCAATGATTAACAATTTTTGTTAATAAGAAACAAAATTTTATTTGTGTTTCTTGCTAAAACAATAAATCTGGATATACAGAATCATATGTTCAATTCAATTACAAATAGGAAAAGAGCTGGAAATGAATCAATAACTTTGTTTGCTCTGAAATCCTTCTCAAATGAAGGTAAAGTTCAATCAAGGTCAATATTAACTTTTTTTTTAATACACATGAAAGCAGTTTATCAACCTCAAAGCACCCCACAATTGTTAGATATTATCATTAGTATATTTAATGGGAAGGGACAAATGTGATTCATATGTTAAATAGTGTCTGTGATATTTCTTACCAGGTTTGTCATTAACTTTAAAAAAATAAAATTATATCGATTGCATTTCAGAATATTTACACAGTGATTTGGAACAAAAAGGGTAAGAAGTTAAACCAATAAGCAAAATCACATCTTTGTCACCTAGCTTCTGTTAGGCAACACACCTGCAAAATCTCAATGATCTTCAGCTTGGTGTCCATCACAGTCACATCCTCATGCTCAGCGGGGCTCCCTTGCTTGCTCGGGTGGATGCTGGGTGGCACATCTGGCACGCTCATGGGGAAGATGGAGCCTCTACTGAGTACCATCTGGGTCATCATCTCTCCCACCCCATGAATGGTTCTCATCACATTGTTTCCTGACATGAGAAAATGCCGTAAGTCAACACACACAACCCCTGGAGAACATGTAACTATAAAATTCAGTTGGTCACAAACACACTGAAAAGCAGCCAGGAAAAGGATTCGGGATAAGACAGAATAGCATCAGCATTGTTTGGGCTCTTTCTTTACAGATAAAATTAAGATACTGCAGATATGTTTCAAAATGACAACTTTTCAAAATGGAAGTTTTCCTTTCTCAGAAAACACTTTCAAATCATGTACCAAAGGTGAGCTGGTTGCTCTAGCATCCAAATCAGGTTCTTCTGTAATACAGTATGTCCTACTAACTGTCATACCAATAGGCCCTTGCTTTTAAAATAACGCAAAAGAAGATTACTAATTGCCAAGATAAAGTTAGTTGCAAGTGGGGATACAAAGATTGCATAAAAACACTTACATGTTGAATTCTAGCATCATAATCCAATCCTCAAACTAATGATTTTTTAGCTTTCCTTTCACAACACTTATAAAAAGAGCTTGTGAGGGGGATTGTTACCTTTATTTTAAGAAGAAACAGTCTCATCTGGGGAAGACATATACATTAGCCAATACACTTCCCATTCCTTCATCCAATTTGAATAGAAAACCATTACTCAAAATCCACAGAAAGCAATAATGTTTGAGGTGATTATGGAAACAAGCTAGTGACAAACATGATCATTTTCAATGAGGGATCATGCTCTTTCCGTCTCTTCCTGAATTTGGCTTCTCCTTTATTTATTTGCTGATAAAATGTCGTCATTCCTATCATGCACACGTTCCTTACACTGACCACAAACAACTGTATCCAAGGATCCTCCTTGACACTATGACAATTTACATTCTCCAGCCTGACTGCTGCTTCTCACTTCTAAGGTCCTACAAGAAGCAATAAGGATGCAAAAGAATGGCTGTCTCCATTCCTTTCCGAACAGTGGCCTTTGCTTCGTGGGTGTTCATGGAGCTCTGCCTTAAGCTAAGGCCTAAGAATCTGGCTAAGAATTTTCCTTTCCCTCAGTGTCTCAGGGCGTAAACCAAGAGAAGGGGAAATGGAAATAAGATGGGATGAGATTTTTATTAAAAAAAGAAAAAAGAAAAGCTGTCAGCTCTAAGAGAAGAATGTAAACCATGGTAATACCTACAGGATCGAAAGGCAAACAAATAAAAAGAAAATATATAAAAGATGACAAGAGAATCTGAATGGTCCAGACCACAATTACCATTAAGCCACTGGTAACAACTATTATCTGTACATTGCTGAAAGGTAAAATGCCTTTGAAAATTCATTATCTTATCTAGATATGGAATCAATTTAAGTATAAGAGGGTAATGCTTCAATAATACATCTTAGAGTGCACAAAGAAGTTAAAGTTTTCCTAAAGTGGCATATTCCAGGCAGAAGTTTTCATTTTGAAGGTCTGAGACCTTTTATTACACTGCTAGTTGCATAAGCCAAAAAACACGATAAAATGTATATATAAGGGTAACTTCCAAGTTAGGACAAAATTGAGGCAACGGGATTTGAGTCAGCCCCTCTTCTATCAGAATAGCCTTGAGGCAGAATGCTTCATTGTCTGTGGTTCTTAAACAATCACAGCAATTGAGTATTTCCACATCCCTCCCCCTGCTCGTTACATGGACTGCAGGGAGGCACATCTGGTTGTTGGCAATGGTTTTGAACCATCGATGTTCAACCACTACCTTTATCCGAGACTTGATTCGAGTACGTATACGTGTTTGCCTCCAAGAGATGCTTTCTCACCACTAATACAGAACAGGCTCTTTTGTTATTCTTATCCCTGATTCACACACAAATCCTTGGCACCCACAGTGTCTGCATCTTATTTAGATTTGAATGGAAAATAATCATTTAATCCAAATGATTACTACACAGAAAGTTAGCCCAGACAATTCTTTCCCCCAGATATAGATCCTGTCACCAAGGAATTAAAATCCAGAGGCCAGATCCATAGTAATTTGTAACACATGTCGTCAATGAAATGGGAGGGTTCACTCAGTCATACCACATTCTCAGATGCCTGTGGAACGTGGTCGCCACAAACCTCACTTGACATTTCCATGTACAGCCAGCTCAGAGGCCTCAAATTAAAAATGCTGTATTTTCTGGATTTGCTTGGTGATGATGAGAAGTGCTAAGATTGTGAACTATTACAGCTTGAAAAACATGAAGTCAGACACTACATAAATCACAGCCATGCAAAGCTTCTAGGATCCATTCCTCCACAGAAAAACTTCTAATTCTAAACTGTTGAGATAAATCAGAGGTGATTAATCCTCAACATTGCAAAACAAGAAATTGTACTACTTCTCAACCATAATTAGTTAATATTGACTAGAAAGTATTCAATGAAAAAGCCTACTATAATATAAATTCTCTGAACAACCTAATGCTTACAAATTCAGCTTTTCTGTGTCTTTTACATAAACCCAGCAGCCAGAATTGGCATTTGTGTACAAAGTGTATTGAGATAATTTGAAAATATGGAAGTCATCTTTGCTTAGTACAAAGTAAGAAGAAAGGAAACACTGGGCACGGTGGCTCATGCCTGTAATCCCAGCACTTTGGGAGGCCAAGGCAGGTGGATCACTTGAGGCCAGGAGATGGAGACCAGCGTGACCAACATGGTAAAACCCCGTCTCTGTTAAAAATACAAAAATTAGCCGGGCATGGTGGTGAGTGCCAGTAATTTCAGTTACTCAGGAGGCTGAGGCAGGAGTATTGCTTGAAGCTGGGAGGCAGAGGTTCCAGTGAGCTGAGATTGCACCACCGTACTCCAGCCCAGGCAACAGAGCAAGACTTCATCTCTATAAAAATAAAAACAAAAATAAAAATAAAAAAAGGAAGGGACTGCTTAGAAAGAATGACTGGTCAACTTTTCAGGTTCTTTCATTATATGATTACATAGATATTTTTACTAACCTTAATTCCCGCAAGAAAAAAAATCTAAAAGACAGGTATAGCAAATGTATACTGACAGTGGTAACTGGGAATGCTTGGGGAATACGTTGCTTTGTTCTTTGATTGTTCCAGTGAGCCAAGTTTCTATCGCCCATTTCAGGAAAGTAAAAAGCAATAAGGAATTAACCAACCTAACACGACAGCTGTGCTGACCATAATTTAATTTTGCCCTATTCAGAAATAATTTTATTGTGGTGATCATACTATTGGTTTCAACAAGCACTAGCAGTTACATGAATTTATAGCAGATGTAAGAGATTTAACAGAATATTGATTGAAATTTACTTAAGTATGTTGGTATTTACTTTATTTAAAGTTATATTTATTCTTTCTTTTTATTAGAAATGCTTTTCTCTTATGAACATATAAGAAAATGGTAATTTGAATTTTCTTGTTGTTTAGATATCAGACATTTCTGAAACATTCTCAGCATTTATAAGAGATAACAGACACATTTGATTCAGAGTTTTGTGAATAATTGTTCACAGCCATTTAATTGTTCTGTGACTACTAAAATCAGCTCAATGTTCTATGATAATAGAGGCCAAAAATGGATAATCCAAAAACTATTATTTTCCCTGAAACATATTTTTATAGTTGGATTTGAATAAATCCATCAGCTGTTATAATAACTCATCTGAAACCGAATGATGTTCCACCATAAAGACATGACTCTGGAAGTCTTCCTATTTCCCATCCCAGCTTAGCAGCTCCTTTTAAACCTGCCCTTGCTGGAAAATGTCTTTACTTTCTAGAACTAGAGCAGTTTTCTATTTCAAACATTCTCTGGAGCAGTGCTTCCTCCCAGTGGTTAAGGGTCTGGGTTATAAAAAGACTTTTCTGTATGCAAAGAAAAAAAAAAATATTAGCATAAGATCAAAGCCTTAATTAAGCTACTAACCACAGAGCAGTAGGTAAAATGGTAGCAACCCAGGTTAAGGAGAAGATCAAGATTAAACAGCCGGAGAAAGCAATTTTATCTAACCAGCCCTCCCAATTCCAAGTAAGATCACGGTATTTTGGAAAGCTAGATAGCTAGATAGTTCTACATACATACATGCATGGCTTTTATTCCATGTGCCGAACCTACAGGGAACTTCCTATACCTTTGCCTTGCATTCTTGTGTCCAGACGGTCACACAACTTGCTCCCTCACTCCTTTCTGATTTGTGGTGCAATGTCACCTCTTTAGGTAGACCTCTTCTGGTCACCCTCTCTGAAGAGCTTCCATCACTCTTAATCCATGCACCCCCTTTAAATTTTGGTCACGGCATTAACACTCTCTCACATTATATCATATATTTGTCTGGGTGTTTACTGTAGTCCTCCTCTCCAACAACATAAAAGAACACAAGTTCCATGAAGACAGGGAGTCTACCTTTTTCCAACATCTGGAATAGTGTCTGATGCCCAACTCTCATTTAATAAATGTTTGTCAAGTTAACGCATGAATAACAAAGATTGGATAATAAAATGAACTATTAAAAATAAGAATGACTTATTTTAATAAGGTTTATATAAAAAGTTGGATCTCATTAAATTAAAGGTACTTCATCTTTCATCAAGTTGAGTTTTTGCTTACTTTCCTTTATACTTCTCTCTTTCTTCAAAAAGCATACATAATTTCATATTACTTAAAAATGTATTAAAAGGAAGAAATTAATAAAATGGATACAAATGAGATAAGGGAAAATAATGAAAGCTGTCTTTATCAAGGGCTTATCATATTGTATGTACCTTGCTAGACCACAGGCCACATACACCTCATTGGAGCCTCACAGCATGGTGGGGGTTGGGAGGCGAATCCCAGTTTACAAAGCCAGGAAGTGGCAGAGTCTCAAGTACAGGTCAACTGATCTCAACATGAATCATGTTTTCCCACACCACGTTGGTTCACTAACAGACTTTACAAAATTCTAAAAATTTTATACTAGAACTCAGAAAGCCCTAATGCAGTTACAGAAAGAAAAGATTCCAATTAAAACTGTGTTCTGAAAATGTAGAATTTCTATTAAC